TGAGGCAGGAGACAAGCGAAAAGGATGGAAATTTGCCTTAGGAAGTATTACCTCTTCCTCTAATGCAGGAGTTGTGATAGGAAAAGGGTCTTAATCCCTACTTTAAAATATTTTAGGGTGCCTTTGTTTTAGAGTAAACATGGGGTTATAAGTAACTTCTTCTACCTGCAGGGTGGCACAGGAGGGTCCCTCTGCCCCTCACTGTTAGCTCCTTGGGCAGGAGAGGACTTGCTCAGATGTCAGGGTGATGCTCGGTGACTGCCGAGCACCATTTGGATGTCACTCCTCGGTGCCTTGCTGCCAGCAGGCTGTCACAGACTCTGCCGATGGGAGGGGCTGGGGGATTTGATCAGCTGTGCTGGCCGAAACTGGTCTCAGGGTTTTTTCTGAATATGCTCCCCATCATCATGGCTGTGTCTGTGAAAGAGAGAGGGGCAGGGCTTTTCACCTGTGCTGTCCAGTGATTATCACTGTTTGAAAAAACTGTTGATGTTTTGTTTTGTTTTCTTTGAACAGATGGGCAGAAGAAGGTTCAAGAGGAATTTGACATAGACATGGATGCGCCAGAGACAGAGCGGGCGGCTGTGGCGATACAGTCCCAGTTCAGAAAATTCCAGAAGAAAAAAGCGGGGTCCCAGTCTTAGTAGCTACCTCACAGCTTAAAAGAAAGTAATCCTGAAATGATTTATCAAGAAAATCAGAAATAACACAAAGATGCACGTACAGAAATTATCAATATTTAAAACCCCATTGGTAGATAACAAACCATGAGCTTGTGTGTGTGACTTCAGCCCAGATGTTTCACACCCATTATCCTCTGTAACTCACCATTTTACTTGATGTTGTAATAAAAAGTTAGGGTGAAGTAATTAAAGTGTCTGCCTTCATCTGTCTTTTCATATTAATCCAGCAACCACAGTGTTACAAATGCACCCAGCCCAGATGCCTGTTTTCCTCTTCACGTAAAGCTTGGAGACATAACAGCACCGTATGTTACAAGATTTTTGCTGAGGGATGAGAGCACGCATCTCAGCCCTGCTTACCTCATTTGGAGAATTCCAGCTGCCAGCCAAATGTGACAATAAAATTACTTTCTCATAATGAGCTGGAAATAAAAAGTTGCAGACAGAAGCTGGCATGAGGGGAAGAGGTGTAGGAAGCAGTGAGCAGTTTATTTTTGTCTTGCAATTATGCCAATAAAGTGGCTTAAGTGGAGAAATTGTCCCTGTCCTTCCTCTTTGCATGATAACGTTCAGAATTACTCAGCTTGGAGCACATCGACTGTTACAGGGGAAAAAGAAAAAATCAGACACAAAATACAAAACTCAATTCCAGAAATCTTTGGAAGGTTTTCTTTTTTATTTGTAAAAATAGAAACTGATGCTCTAAACTGTCTTTTTGATGCAGCTTTTCACTCTCTACATAATCAGTAACTATTTCCATGCCATCTCTCTCTTTTCATATTATTTTTGGTATTTGATGAGTAAATCATAACAGACTCCCTGTCTCCATTTGCACTGTTCTGTATTCAACTTTATATGAGCCCCTTACTTTATCACTATTTTAGCCCAGTTTTTGATTAACAAAAAGCAGCCATAACAATGTCTGTCTTCAACTGGGAAGTATTTCTATTTTCTCCCTGTTGAAAAACAGTAACAGACCAGTTTCAGGCTGGATCTAAGTGAGGATCTTGCCTGGCTTCAGGCCTGATCAGGAATTGGCTGCCCATATAGTGCTCGAGGAAGGTTCAGAAAAGATTTAAACAAGTACCTTGTACTCAGAAAAAGGAGCTATTTAGATTGAGCAAGTGAGACATGCACTACACAGAGACGTGTAAAAAAAATCTCATCCTCTTCTTGGCTTCATCAGCAGATTTAGGAGTTCCAGTAGGCATCTTTGTCTCTAGGGAAATCAGAGACAGAAGCGTTTTCTGAAGGACCGGTGTTTGCCTCCAAGAAGGCAGCGTGAGCTTCACCTCCAGGCTGAGAGAGACAGGCGTGCTGAGTGGTGGCAGCCTGCCTGCCTTTAACTGAACAGCCTGGAGTTGGGACTCCTTCGGGTGTGAGAGATTCGGGTATAATTCCCACCTCTGTCTAGAGGGATTCATTTCTTCCTCTCCCACCTTCCACAGGAGAATTCTGATCACCAGGGCAAAGGACACATATATCATTAGTCCCCTCATGTAAACAGAAAGCTACGACCACGGGGTAGGAATAGAGGGAAAGGCGGGATCTCACGCTGGTGGCGGTCGCTTCCCATGAGAGCCCACCATAGCAGCAATGCTGAAGGGCTGCGCTGAAAGGCAGGCTGCGGGACTGCAAAGGGAAGGCCCTCAGCGTTATGCAGGTTAAGGCACTTGTGGTGCTGGCAACAATTTAGTGAGGAGCCCAAACCTGATGGTGGGTGACAGGAGCTCTGGGACCGTGCTGGTTAGGAGGAGCCTTCAGAGACGCTAAGCAGAGGAAGCCTTATGGATCCTGTGGAGGATGTAGAAGGCATGTGCAGAGATGACGTGTGAGGTGCTTAATAAGCACAGCAAGACTGGGTGGAAATGGACAGGGCTTTTTAGATCTTAGTTTGGGGATAAACATGTAAATGCTGCCCAGGCCCTGCCTTAGGCATCTCTGTCTGGGTCAGGTCCTGGCCCTATGCAAGACTTACCCACATATCACCTGCAAAGTCAGAGTTCTCCAAGCTGCAGCTCAGCGCTTTCACTCTAGGAGCATATTTTAGCAGCACTGTTTCTCTGCATTTAGGAATTTCACAAATAAACCTCAAATAACACTGCTGCTGTGCTCAAAGTGTCGTTTGTGGAGGCCACGGATTCCCAGTCTTTCACAGAGACTGCTCACCATATAATAATTGCCTTAGCATAATAATTTAAAAATTGTAATGGGTTTGGATTGTGTTGGTGCAATTTTGTTTAGATGAACATATATCTGTAATAAAGGACTGCATTTCCGTTCTGCATTATGTCATTTGAAATAGCATGAGCTCTGTAATGGCTACTTAATTGAATAAAAACTATGGGTAAGCACTAGGCTTTTATATATGATCTGACATTCCTTGGACTTGAATTTCCTACACAACTAGTATAATCATATGGTTGGGACACAGAGAAAGCAATTACATTATTGAAGCACAGCAACAAGGGCTGTTAGTAAATGAATTATGGCTCTTTCAGCAGCAGGGCTATTCTTTAATGTGAAGTTCAGAGTGCATCTTACAAATACAGTCTTAATATACAGTGAAACATAATGACGAAATAGTGAACTGGCATCAAATTTGGATTAATTGTGGCTGCCCCTGTCAGACAATTTCCTTTTTATGGAAATGTGTTTGCATCACAGATTCAGTTCATGTTCCCAGGAGGGGAGAGCTTTCTTGCTCCTGAGTCTTGCTTTTCATTGATCCTTTGTTCATATCCAAGGTGGCAGTTTTTAATTTCCTTTCTTACCACTGACTCATACTTTTCAAAGACCTATCTGGATATTGCTGAAGTGAGGAAAGGAGTTTGATTCAACCAGGAACTTCGCTAAGATGGGCAAAAGAGGACACTTAAACATTCCAGGTATTATATGGGTCTTTTAACTTCCAGACGCTCACTGAGCTCTGTAGTTAACTGGCACTACCTAGCTGGGCGTAACCAAGTCATGGAAGGCAAAATTTAAATTAGGTGGATATCTGTGCTGATAAACCAAAAGTTCCCATAGGTAACATGAAAGATTATTCAGAGCAGTAGATTTTGCAGGAAACAGGGTTATCACTCCCACCACATACACCCACACCCTCCCCAGACACATCTATACTGCTTCTGCTCCAAATTACCATCAGATTGTCCCAAAAGAGAATAACCTGCAGTTGAATGATCAGAACAATTGCCTGAGCCTTAGAAATCCTTTGTTCACATCATTGCCTGGACCGTAAAATAACCTGTAGAAGTAAACAGCAAAGGAGACTATTAGAAGTAAAGAAATGCCATCAGAAAGCACAAGAATGCCCAAATGACAAAAATGGCAAAGGATGTGAATTCTATCAAGTTAAACACAGAAAGGCAAGCCGAAGCCAACCTGTGGCTTGCTGAAGGTACAGAGTTACAAATGAAACTTTTTTCAAACACTACTCAGAGTGGTTGCCTACTGGAGAATTGTGGGGATGTGGGGAAGCAGAGGTCTTGCAGAAAGTAGAAATGAATCTTGCAGTAACGCTCAGAGCAGAGGGTCCCACAACGGGGGTCTTGTTTTGTAATACATCAACCTAAGGAATTCATCGTCAAACTGAAATGTCAGTAGAAGAGAGTTTGGAGTAACCTGGCAAAACTAGTAACAACAAATTGCCAGGACTGGATGAGGTTCACTCATGTCTTGAAAAGGAGCTCAGGTACACAGCGGCCGCCTTGTTCAACCCATTGCTTGCGCTGGCCTCAATTCCAGGGGAATAGGCAGTGGCAAATTAATAACGGATTTTAGAAAGGGCTCTAGGAGTGTTCAGAGATTTACAAAGACTGTCTTCATTAGGTAGCTCGAGAGAAACTATGATATGATGTAATACAAGTGTAATACATCAACGCCAGCCTGACGGCAGCTGTGATTCACAAATCTGCTGGCGGTCACTGATGGAGTAAACAGGTGGGTAATGGTAACCCAGGTGCACCTGGATTTTCAAGAAGTTTTGGCTGGACTCTCATGAATGCCTCTTAGGGAAGTTAAGTGATCTGGGAACAAATGGTCAGGTCCTCTTGCAGAAAAACAACTGGTTAAGGTTCAGGAGCTGAACAGGTGGGATGACATGTCCAGTTCTCCAAGGAGCGGGGTGTTGCCAGTGGGACTCCAATGGCATCTATGTTTTGCCATTCTTAAAAATCACCTGAAAAGAGGGATGATGAAAAGTGAGGTGACAAATGGTTATATCGGTACTTTCTACATGAAAAATCCCATTCTTTGCTCCTTAGTTTTACAGAAGGATCACTGAGACCCATAAGGAGAGGAAGATCATGTCAGGGCCATGAGGGCACCGACAGCCCTGACTGCCCCTGCCCACCCCGGGGGTCCCCCCACCCGAACCATGGCCAGGACCCCATGTCAGCCCCTTGGGGCTCCCCCACCCTGCCCAGGGCCCAGGGCCCCACGTCAACTCCCCACGGCCCTACCCAGGGCCCAGGGCCCCACGTCAACTCCTCAGGGCCATCAGCCCCTGCCCCAGCGACGCTACAGCAGGGCCAGTCTCCAGCTCCCCACAGCCTTGCCCTGCCCTGCCCAGCCATGGCCCCATCAAGCCAGGCCCATCCATGGGCCCATGTCCTGGCCTTGGCCCATCCCAAGGGAGGTGTCTGATGCCCGGGGCTGGAGGTGCCCTGGTGCTCCCTGGCTGCCCTGCTCCTGGATGGAGCTCCCACCGTCCCAGCCCCATGGAGCTGCCAGCCCCACTGTGCCTTGCAGTCTCCCTGCCCACGTTAGGGGTCTGTCCCTCCGCATATCCCAGTGTCCCTTCCAGGGAGGAGAAAGGGATGTAGACAGCTTTTGGGCATATGTATGAAGGTCACAGGTCCCATGGAAACAAGTGACATTTCCCTGCCCTGGCTTATTTGCCCTCAGTCACACTACGCAGCTCAATGCCGAGCTTTGAGCCCAAGAAACTGGCAGGATCCCCCAGGATCCAGATCCGGGGCGGGTGCAGCAGGGTCCCCGCTGGATTCCTTGCGGCAGAGCATGCCCACCGGCTGCTCACTGAAACGGGCGTCAGCAGCGGCTCTGTCATCTGCTCCAGCCCCAGCGCAAAGCCCCAGCTTGCAGCCTGCTTGAAATTGCTCCAAAGTACATCGGCCGAGCACAGCAGCCAAAATACGTCAGTGAAAGCATCTGCCGGAGTCTGCAATGGAGGCGGACGGGTGGAAGGGAATCCTCTGAGCAAAAGAGGAGCACAGCTGGGAAAGGAGAAAAAGGAAAGCGCTGCTGAAACTTACTGAGCCATCTGAAGGTGATTTCTCTTCGGCTCAGGTAGCTGACTCCTTGCGTCTGGTCTGTTTCAGGGCTCACGCCTCAAAGGAGCACAGGCTCTCCGGCACAAAGCTGGCCGCTGCCAGGAGGTGTTTATGCAGCCCGCGCTTCCCAAATGCTAGTGCGAAGCCCACTGGATCCCGAGAAACCGTGCAGCAGAGCGGGGGCGTTCCCATGCGAGATGGTGAACGCTGCCGACGGCCATGGTCCCTGCTCCTCCACCTCAGAAGACCATCTGGAGCATGTCACGGTTTCTCCTTCATGAAAATCAAAGCTTGAGGAGGGTATGGAGTAGGGAGGACATGATGCTCACCCAGGCGGTATGACA